GAGAGAGAGAGAGAGAGAGAGAGAGAGAGAGAGAGAGAGAGAGAGAGAGAGAGAGAGAGAGAGAGCTCCTGTCCCTTCCAGGTACCCAATCACCAATTCCTTGACGGCTTAACAAATCACAAGTTCAATGAATTAACAGACTTGCTCCAGTGGTCAGCCCATCTGGTTGAACGGTCCACACACTATTACACCGACAACTGTTAAATACAGGTCATCATGATGTTCAACCTCTGATGGAATCAGAGGGGTCAATGAGAACATGGTTTTTTCATGAAAAAAAAAAAACAAAAAACATACGGTAGTGCAAGTACAAGATACATGTCATGTCACGTTACCCAAGAACAAAAACCAGAAGGTACAAAGAAAAAAAGGGAGGAAACACAATCGGGAGGGAGCAAAGGGAAGGAGGAAGGTGGGGAAGGTTGGCTGTTCATAATGGTTAGATTCTCTCAATCAATCCTTTTCCAAACAGATGTACATTCTTCGACTAATTAGAACGCAAACGGGAATACATTAAACCACCACTACCCTTCAGAGGCAAACTCGAAACACCAAACACCAATTTGCAAGAAAACACATTCTACAGGTGAAAAGTGCTACCCAACCAAAATGGCTGGCGGTGTCAGCCAAAGAAAAAAAAAAGGAATGTCGGCGTTTATGTCACGACGGTGCTTCGGCAAAGCTTGGCACGCAGTTCTTTTCCACCTCGGCAAAATGAGGCTCGGGGGTAGTGTTCTTCGGGACATCTGTTAAAATCAGGAACAATACAGAGAAGGGTATAGTTAGGATTGACCCTGGGCAAGGATGCCACGCAGACATTGAGAAATTGTGGAAATCTTTTGAGGAAAAATGAAAAGTGGCTCGGGGGTAGTTGGCGGTTTCAGTAGCACATATTCGCCGAAAAATGACACCACCTATTAACCACGCGAGAGTGCTGGTGTGCTTAGCATTCACGGAACACTGAAGTCTCTCAGCTGACCTACCCAGCCGATGCCGCTTTCTTGTGGAGTTAAAACCCAGTTCTCTATTTCAACAGTTAAGGGGTGTACCAACTGACCTAGTCGTCCGTGAAGCTGAATGGTTCACACCCATAACTGTTAGTAAACAAATCACTGCATCTGCTTTTTTTGTGGAGCTCAAACTCAGGTCTGTATTTCAACATGTCAGGGGGGTGTGCAATGACTTGCTGATTTCTACTGCCGAGATTGACTGCGAGGCTGTACACTAACCGGTAGGGTTAGATTTGTAATTTTGTTTGGCTGAGGGCTAACCGAGAGACCTGCCTGTAGGGAAATTTGTGAGGACATAGAGAGTGGGGTGTGAGTTTTGAGAGTGGCGAGATACTGGAACAAACTCTGTTACGATAATTGTTTGAGTGGCTCATCATCAGTGTCAGTTCAATTGTGATCTTTGCAGGTTCTTTCTTGTGATTGGTTGTTGGGAGTTGTGTCAGAGAGTGAGAAACACTGTGTGTTCTCTCCCCATCTGTGCATGATTGTCTTCCGCTGCTTATTTTCACCTGTGTGCAGTTTGGACTCTGCCTTCTCTCTCCCCTTCTCTTATGCATGTATGGGCATGTGTGAGATTGTCTGTGTGTGAGTGGCGATAAAATTCGTCAGACAACCAAGTTCATAACAGGTGTACCAACTGACCTAGGTGTCAGTTGGTTAAACAGACCATGTTTAAACCGCCAGTACCTTTTCCATATGCCGGCCGCGACCCTGCGCTCCAAGCATTTGGTATGTATCTGGCTGGCACGCGTGCCCGGGGCCGGCCTCCGTGTTAACCGGCGGGCAATTTTTCTGCCTGGGAAAGGTACTGGCGGTTTWAGGAACTGACACCTAGCTCAGTTGGTACACCCCCCTGACATGTTGAAATACAGACCTGAGTTTGAATTTGAACTCCACCTGAATCCTGATGGGATGAGACGAGGGTTTCAACTTTCAAGGGAAAAGCGAAGAGGCAAAAAAGGAGTATATGAGCTTTCAACTGACCTTTCTAGGACTTGAAAGGGGTCAATCAATAGCTGTAGCTTGGCATCAATCCAAAGCGAGAAACGCATGTTGGGGAAGAGCCGATGCAGCAGAAGCTTTGGTATCTGCGATTCAAAGGCAAACACAAGGCCAATACACCTAATGAGCAAAAGTCTAGCGGTCCTAGCCCTGGCATCGGGTCATGCATCACGCAGACCACATCTTAGTAGGCGGTACTTGACACTCAATACTGCAACGAAGGATCAGGCTACACCACGGTCCGCAGCTATGTCTTATGTGCTAAACGTAACGGCATCTCAAGCGTAACCCTTTTCCGTGCAAAAAAGTGGAAGGTTTCGAAATTGCTCAGGACATTTCCGGGAACTAACCGTGGGAAAAAGAACCAGTTTTTTTTTAACAACAACAAAATTTCACGCCATATGCGGTACCACACAATGGACAGGCCTTGAACGCCCCCACAATGACCCCTCCCCTGCTTTCAGTCCCTTTCGAAACACTCCCTTTACTTTCACACAGGTCGATCCCTCAACTCCCATGCAACCCCCCTTGACAACCCAAGCCCCTCTCATCAACACACCTTCAGTGCCCTTCACCACCTGTCGACAAACCCCCAACCCTGGGTGGCCATTTGCCAGTCATGTTTCATTATGACAACCGACAGCCCTTCGACTCCAACAGCCCCGGGCCCACTCCCAGTCCCCCACCTTCCAAAAAGACAGTCTTCACCCCCACACACCTCTGATATGGTGATACCTTCAATTCCCAAGCACCCCCCTTGGCACCCCAAAAAATTCCCTCACCACACCTTTTTCACCGCCTGTTGGCACCCGCCCCCAACCCTGGCTGGACATTTTAAAGCCATGTTCAATACCCCAACCGGAATTTCTTGAGATCCAATGACCCTTCTTGGCCTGCTCCAAGTCCCCTTCAAACGACGGTCTATCCCTTCGACAGCCCAGCACCCTCTGTGACACCACCAAACCCCCCTCAACACACTTTCATCACCTGTCGACAAACCCCCCAAAACCCGGGTGGACATTTTCAAGCCATGTTTGAAACCACATTGCACGGCCATGGAACCCCAATGCCCCCCCCTCTCTCCCCCCCCCGCTCCAAATCCAGTTCAAACTTCAGAACACTATCTTTGCCCCCACACACTTCTTCTCAAGTTCTCATCACTTTAATACCCGAGTCCCGTCTCGACACCCACTTAACCACTCCAAAACATTGTCACCACCTTTCGACATGCTCCCAGCCTTGGCCGGACATTCCCTATCCCCCGCCTTGGCTCTGTGAAGGTCCATCATCCCATGGCAGCAGAAAAGCTGCGCTGTCTGTCTCAAACCCTTTTTTTTTTTTTTTTTTTAATGATAGAAAATCACTCCGTCTATTGGTGGGGAGCTGCACCTGCTGGAAAATGGGTCCAGCGTCCCATTTGAACAATTTCCCACACACTTCTGATCCCACACACACGGTCTTTCCTCGCACACACTTTTGATCCCTTTAACACCCGAGCCCCGTCCTGACACCCCCTTAAATCTCGAGAGATGACGATGGCAAGGATGCCCAGCTAAAGGGAAAGAAGGGACAAGAAGAGCAAAGAACAAAAATCACAAGAAAAGAAACAGGCTGACCTTTCCATTGCGCCGTGGATCTTCGTAAGGCAGATTCTTCACAAGTACGATACGCCATATCCCAACTTTCATCCGGCGATGTCCAGGAGCGTTGTGGCCATCTTCTTTTATCTTTTCAGCCAGATCTTTGAGTGTTGCCTCGTCGACAAACATATAGAAACAAGCATCTCTTCTTGCAACTTCACCCACCTGGAGTGGCTGCTGCAAGAGATCATAACTCCCTGACCACCACCCACACATCATCCCACATGCACTTTGCTCCCCTCCACAGGCATGGCACACACAACTAGCCAGCGTTTGCACACAGAGCAGCCAGCACACACGTGTATGAAGACATCGCGATGGTACATTCGAGCAAGAAGCGCCACAGAAGCGGGGACAGGACAGTAATATGCACACAGACACATTGGCCATGCTCCAAACACACCCAGAGTCAAGCTGCTACATGCCATTGCTCTTCAGGTAAACACACTCACACAAAATCCCATAACGCCACAGGAATGCATATGTGAATTCATCACAACCCCGAAGACAGATTCACAGTTCATAAGTCCCGGAGCTCAGCCACAGCAACAGAGAGGACAACCACTAGCCATCCGGACCAAAATGCATAACCATCCACCGATCATGGATACCCCCTCACTTTCCAGTCACAGAGACTCAGGCATTAAGCACACTATTTTCCATGTCACAGAGACTCATGCATTAAGCACACTCTCAAAGACGAACCACAGAACTCAGAACCGAAGCATAGACAAGCTGTGCTCAAGCATGGAGATGCTGATCTTGAATATGGGATTCAGAGAGCTCGGCATGCAGTGTTTTGAGCCACGACACTTGAGACCAGCCTCCGAAGATTGAAAAAGGAAAAAATTGCGAATGCAGGATTGGCCATCAAATGGGTCAACTGAAAAAACAGGGGCCTGTGGTAACCACACCGGCTTCAGGAATGCGGGACGATGATCTGATCAAAAGCATCAAGAACTCAAGGATCGATAGGTTTGTGTGTGTGTGTGTGTGTGTGTGTGTGTGTGTGTGTGTGTGTGTGTGAGAGAGAGAGAGAGAGAGAGAGAGAGAGAGAGAGAGAGAGAGANGAGAGAGAGAGAGAGAGAGAGAGAGAGAGAGAGAGAGAGAGAGAGAGAGAGAGAGAGAGAGAGAGAGATGCCAGGATGCTTTCACGGGAGGAGATGATCACTAAGGGGGAGATTCAAACAGCACGTCCATAGTGTAAAAGCTGTAAGCCCTTTTTGTATTTTGTAGGGGAAAGTTGGGAAACCAGTTATGGATCTCCAGTAGACGATCGAGTGATGGATTGAGAAGTTGTGTTACAAAGAGCGATGCACTCTTATGGTGTTAAACAGCATTTCCATAGTCTAAGCAGATCCCAACGACAAGGACAAATTCCGACAGAGATCAGTATGCCCTCCCTGCCCATGGGAGACGGCACCAGGAGACGACCAAAGTTGACGAACATGGAACATTCGTCCACCCATTGACTGGTCTTCATGTTTACCGGCGGATCATGTCGATGATGATGTGGGGGGATGGCATTGTCTCAACGCTACCCCTGCCATGCATGCGAACATTGGGAAGTGGATAAACTACCGTCGTCACTCGAGTAGAACGTACAGTAACTATGCCTGCATTTCGTCCAACTTTAAGTCTAGATACGATGGTAGGTAGTTCACACTGAGATGGATCCAGGAGATAGCAAGTGAAAAAGACGGAAAATCTGACAGAAGGCAGGAGGACAAAGCAGACAGAAATGGGAAACCTGCAAGGGAGAATGAAAGACAGGAGCACACGAGGAAGTGAGTGTAAACGCCACCAACAGATCATCAACGAAAGAGTCCTCTTCCTAGACCTCCAGAAACACAAGTGACATAGATAAGAGTATGCCCTTGCGCCAGGTGAGGCTGCCGTCTTCACCCGAATAGAACGCCCGATCATTCTAGCTCTATTTGGTGCAACTTTCAGGCCAGATACAGCGATAATTACCGGGCTGCGGGCGTTCCATTCGGGTGAAGACAGTAGGCTAGTCAATGACCAAAGTTGTTGGATCGGAAGAATCATCCACTCGATTTGAGATCTCCAAATCCTGCCCATGGTTAACAGGTACCCCCACTTTCAGCTCCTGGCCAATGGGTCCAAAACTGAAACTACCATCTTCACCCGAATAGAACGCCTGGTCATTATCGCCGTATCTGGGCTGAAAGTTGTGCCAAATACAGCTATAATGACCGGGAGTTATATTCGGGTGAAGACGATAGGGTTTCACAGACGGATCAAATGCACTATTCGGGGGTTAGTCATGTCGCCAGGCGTGCATAGGCCATGGTCCCACTTACCCCGACGCTCTCAATTAGGAACAGAGATAGAGAGATCAACAATTAAAAAAAACTTTTAAAAACTTAAAAAAAAGGGAAAAAAAGGAAAAAAGAAAAAGAGAGATCAATAACAAGGAAAGAGGAATGTGGGCAAATGGGGGCCAGCCCGAAATTAAGTCTTACTGAACTGGGGGAAGAATGCAAGGAGGTACTCGTTGTTTTCAATTTTATTATTGCTGCTCCACTTTAGCTATTTCGCTATTTACGGACGGGTTGTTTTTGACTGTTGGGAATGATGGGCCCAGGGGCTGTGCTGCAAGATGCAGTCTCTCCTTCTCATCCATTACAAGGCCATTCGGCAAATTTATTCTTCCATTTTGTTGTAGTCGCCCGAAATGTTGTTGCACATTAACAGAAATCATGTTCGATCAATTCTGTTATGATTTCTGTTAATGCGCAGCAACAACATTTCGGGCGCCTACAACAAAACGGGAGAATAAATTTCCTGTATGGCCTTCGAATTCTGTTTGGAACTACGTTCGTGTCCCCGAGTGTGCAAAAATGTGTGTGGCCCCGCACAGCGCGCATTCCAACTGTCGTTATTCTGTTGGCTCGTTTTTCACTTGTTTGGTGGTCGTACTCAATTTCACGTCCTGATGGCAGCCCTATATAATTCACCTTGCGCCCGATGTAAGTGTGTGTTTCTACCAGGGCCACACAGCCCTCTATTTTTCCTCCGTGTATTTGTCAGATGCAGCATGTTACCACAGGGTGATTGCTTTTCCTGCCCTTTTCTTTTGACAATGCATTTCATCGCTCAAAACAACACAACACAACACAACACAACACAACACAACACAAAACTTCGGGACATCCGTTAAAATTGGAACGATACAGAGAAGATTAGGATGGCCTTTGCACAAGGATAAAAAAAAACAAAAAAAAACAAAAAAAACAAAACTACGCTATATATGCTTCCCTCAAATCTTTCATCATCTTTCATATTCTTTCTTTCAATTCACCTTCAAGATTGGTAGACTCACCAAACACACCATTTCTGCCAAGTGTTGGTCGATATGGTACACTCGACGAACAGCAAACGTTGGATACAGTTGTTGGGAGGAAACGAGGAAAGGGGAGGATAAGAAAGAGAAGCGCAAGAGCTGAGCAACACACACCAAATATCGCAGATGCCACAACTAGCCCTGCACAATTATGCATGTCCTTCTTGTCCTCTTCATGAATGTCAAAACCTGAGTTGGGCCAGACAAACCTGCGTACAATGGCATTGCAACACAGACTGGGATCAGCACACACAGTTCACCATGGCCCGCACACAACTGACAATAGCTCTCCCAAACATAGGAATGATGATGATGAAACTTCATGAAAGCCAAATGTGAGTGGCGCCCCCGAATGTAGTGCATATGCGTTATATACGAGTTTTTTGAAAAAAAAACCTTTTCCGAAAGTTGGTACCCTTTTTTCACATAGAAGGGCACTTTGAATACAACGTATATGCTTTGTATTCAAATAAAACGCATATGCATTCTAGTTAGTTGTTAGTAGTAGAAGATAGGCAGCAGCCATAGCTGCCAGGTAGAGAGTTAGCCTATGTGCGTATGTGTTCAGTGTGTGTTGTTTGCATCTGCGGGACATCCAACTTGATCCAAGGAGATCCACGGTGTGTGTGCGAACAAGTTGCTGGGAGAACAGTGAACGGCCATAGCCGATTGAGACAAGTTTGAATCTGAACTGTGTTCCTGGCTACGTACCTCTGAGCTTTGTGTGGGCGCAAGTCGCCAGTGTGATCACCATCCATTTGCATGCATGCCAAGTGTCGAAGTAGACGAGTCTGATTGCAGAAGATTCATTCTCATTTTTCACATTTGGTGAGAGGAGTGGAGGGAGGCCTCAATGGCAAGGGGGGGATGAACCTTTGGCCAGAACATGGAAAGATACAACAACACATTTTTTTGTCTGTGTAATGCCCTCGGCCACGGACCAGAACTGAGCCTACTCAGCCTGGACCGGGCCCCCTGCTGTCCAAAACGTTGCTGCACTGCCCTCGAATACAGCGCATATGCGGGTTAAACGAATAAAACGCATATGTGGGTTAAACGAATAAAACACAACGTATGCGTTGTATTCATTTACAACGCATACGCGTTATGTTCGGGGGAAGAAGGTATGAAGCCGATGCCAAGGACGACACCAAGGATGACAGAGGATGGCACGGCAACCCCCCCCATGCCGCGGGTACTTTGGTAGGACCTCGACCAAAAATTATTGGCTGGGATTGCACAAACGAAAAACACCTGGCGCCGCGAGGGGCCTCCCCACAGCCGCCAGGCCACCTACCGGGTCCAAGAAGGCCTGCTCCCAATTTGGTGTCGGCTGTTCGGTGGCCATGCAACTGGGCGGCCTTCCAGGTGGGTCCAGGCTGCCGAGCCCCAGCAGGGTATCCCTAAATGATTTCAGACAATTTTGGCTGGGTGATGTCACAAAAAAACGCCCTATCTACTGATTGTGTTTTGGCCTGCAGTTGGAATAGGTTTGGCCAGGCACACCTTGCTTAGCCCGTTTGGGCGCAGCAAATGATGTAAGGGATGCCAGGACCCCTTCCCAGTTATATGCATACGATTTGCTTGTAATGAACCCAGTCTGGCAGATACTCAGAAGTCGTCAAACATCAGTAGTCTCATTATCTGCATCAAAGTCTCCAAATCGTGAAGTGATAGCTCAAACGTTATCTCATTACCATCAAAAGAAGAGAGTGGAGGGGGAACAGACAAAGGAGAAGATGAAAGATCACACAATAATAATCCCTTCAGATCCCTCTCCTTCTCAGGGCTTCTTCCCTCTCCACGTCAACAATGATAATAAGTATATTCCTGATCACACACAATAGTGCCACGTGGCACTTTATCTCGTGCAGACCATGAAGACATAGCAGTTTCCAGTGACGACGTCAACCTCAGGTGAGTATCCGATCTCCTTCATCCACAGATCCGATCTTCCTCCTCCTCGCAACCAGTCACCTCATGTAGACAGCGTGGACAGTGCCACGTCAGCAGTCAAGACAGGTGGCATATGCCACATCAGCAATGAAGACCAGTGGCAGCGCCACATCAGCAATGTAGACTAGTGGTAGCACCACATCAGCATGCACTGTAAACCAGAGGCAGCGCCACATCAGCATGCAATGTAGACCAGAGGTAGCACCACATCAGCATGCAATGTAGACCAGAGGTAGTGCTACATCATCATGCAATGTAGACCAGAGGTAGCACCACTTCAGCATGTCACCTCAGCAAGCCTGGCGCAAAAGCGCCAGCATGCTGCCTCCACCTCGTGCCGTCGTCCACATCGCTACTGCACAGCCAGCGTCATGCCAGCGTCGAGCCAGCACAATGCCAGTGTCTAATCAAAGTCGAGCCAGAGCCAAAGCAGCATAGCAAGACTGAATACTTGACTCACTCGAGGCCAGCCATAAGTAGCAGTTGTCGATGCTGTCTGGCCTCGGGTGCTTTTCCCGCAGTCGTCCAGATTGACTCACAGCTGAGGGCCCGGATTGTACAGTTGCAGACTTCTCCCTTGGACCTGATGCTGTCTGGGTACCTGCATACAAACAAGCGTGTGTGCTTGACCAGTGGCCTGGGCTAGGTACCTTTGGACTTTGACTGTTGGGGTCACGACAGCTGGCCAAAGTGAACTGCCACACGTCCATGCCCTGAGCCCTCGTGTGGGGTCCTTTTTGCCCCTGTTTCGGCCTGGGCTGAGGGCGGCCGAGTTGGCCCTCAGTTTTTCCACGAGACATATGGCATGGGTTGTTGCATGCTCTTCTTTA